TATTATCTATTATTATCTTGAGGAATCTGACTTCTTTTGGGTCCTTTGCCTCGTTCTCTCCTCTTTTGAGAATATTTCCTATTAGAACAATGCGGAAGATAACCAAAGTAATAACTCCATCTCACTGGATTCGTTCCTACCCTGAGTTTTCATTCAATGAAGTGACCAGACATATATACCTGTTTACACTAAAAAGGGACATATCAAGCTCTGAAAATAGATTTAATATGTTCTCAGCTACAGCATTGTGACTTTTAAAAGAAAGGTCAGCTTGGGTTCTACCTAAATTCGAAATAATATACACACACTAAATACATACAATATGCTTAGCCAAACACTATAAATCTTAAAGGAATAGTACACCCAAAACATGATTAGCCTTCATTTTCTACTCACCCCCATGCTGAACAAAACTCTGGAGTACTTTTTTGATATCTCAAATGCATCTGGAGATCTGGGAGGCTTCTTGCTGTCTGCTGACATTCAAATAATGGAGGTCTATGGTGCCCGAGACAGAAAGGTCCATAAAAGTCCACAAAAACGTGTCAATATTCCTCCATACTGCTCGTCCAATGTAATCCAAGTGTCCTGAGTGGGTAGCATCCAGAATTTACTCGAAACGAAGTCATTTAGAATGTTTTTAGAGCCTAAACAGTAGTGTATAGGATTTCCTAATAGCGCCCCCATGCGCGCTCACGATTCTACGGAAGCCGGCAGACCAAACCGGAAGTCAGCGTCAGCGCATTCAGCTCGGCAAAGAACTCATGCTCTTCCTCAACACTGAAGTCCTCAGACATTTTTCTTTCGTTGTTTCTTTCTTTGCACAGGTAAACAGCACATTTCTTCTTCTACGCTTGCATTACTGGCAGAGCAGACGCTGACTTCCGGTTTGGTCTGCCGGCTTCCGTAGAATCGTGAGCGCGCATGGGGGCGCTATTAGGAAATCCTATACACTACTGTTTAGGCTCTAAAAACGTTCTAAATGACTTCGTTTCGAGTAAATTCTGGATGCTACCCACTCAGGACACTTGGATTACATTGGACGAGCAGTATGGAGGAATATTGACACGTTTTTGTGGACTTTTGTGGACCTTTCTGCCTCGGGCGCCATAGACCTCCATTATTTGAATGTCAGCAGACAGCAAGAAGCCTCCCAGATCTCCAGATGCATTTGAGATATCAAAAAAGTACTCCAGAGTTTTGTTCAGCATGGGGGTGAGTAGAAAATGAAGGCTAATCATGTTTTGGGTGTACTATTCCTTTAAGGAGGAATTGTTAGGATGTTATTAGTATATTTATTCGGTGGGAAAAATAAAAATGTGAGTTTTTTTTAGGCACAAAATCATTATTAGTTAAATTGTTGATCTCCCTAAAAAACTGAAACATGTTTAAAAAAAATGGAGTGAGTCAGCTGCAAAGAGAAGACTTAAGATACCAATTAAAAATATGGGTTATTTAGAGAAATTGTACATGGAACAGTGATCAAACGGGCTTTGTTTAAATCTTAAAATTATTAGGCCATACAAAAACCCTGGTTTATTTGCTGCATAAGGCTTCATATATATATCATTCACCCGGTCACACACAAATGATGTATGTCCTTTCGATGAGGATCTTATTAAAGAATGATCAGCACTTTTTCACAGCAAATTAGATATTTATAGGGAGAGAATTCCAAAACTCAGTGACAGGACATGAGATTCCTTTTTTTTTTTGGTTTGTTTAATATCAGCGAGATATGGATCATTTTATTTTTTATTTAGTTATATTTACAGCACATGAAGAACTACTGAAATTATTCTCAGATTACACATAAATAGATTCATTCATTCCACGGGAGGAAAGGAATTAATTTAGGTTTAGGATTAGGATTCAGTCAATAACAACCTAAAGATTTGAGGGCATTCTATGGGATTGATTGCAGCTTATAATGGCAATTTGCCTGCAAACAGCCACTTAACTGTGTAAAAGAAGACTGAATCAACATAAGGAGGGACGCATGGTATGAACCACAGGTTCTATATATTAGAACAATGTTTTTATTCTTCATCCTCACCTGCTGCCAGAAGATTTCAACTAAATAGATACATTGATCTACTACCATTCATGAAATATCCCGTAATATTTTCACGGTAACAACAGGCTATGGCAAGCTGTTTTGATATGTACTAGATATGTATGATATGTACTAGATATGTATGATCTGTACTAGTTTTACTGGACATGTTTTCATTGTTTAAATTACCATTTCAAACAAAATGACATTCTCCACATCTAGAATAAACATTCTGGAAGTCTAGAGAAGTGCTTTTAGTAAATGTAAAAACAGCCTGCCAAAGCCCACCTCATATAAACATGCTTTAACTGGAGCAACAATCTTCTCCTTAGCCATTTGCCACTCCTTTGTAGCTGTAGCGCTGTTTCTCTGTGCTTTAAACACATTTTCCTTTTCTGCATTAAAATCTCTAGTTTCAGTGGGCTGAAATAGGCACTTCCTGTTGCCTGTTGTCATGGTGACTTGTCAAATTGGTGCTCCACCAATGGCTTTGCATTACTTTTTTGCATACACGCTTAACTCTGAGTGGACCTAGTTAAAATTGATTGAACTAATTGATGGCACCCATTGTGAAACCAAACACTCAGAGTTCCCAACTTTGGCTAGATCAATTTAGAGTTGTGGATTTGAATCTGAATTTATTAAACCTACTTCATGAAACGGACCCTTGCTCTCCAACTACTCCTCTAGGTGGTAGGGACAGTTTGTTTCTGAATGGTAGCATGCTCTTAGTGTACATTTAAAACTTTGGAAACATATCAAATCCCTTCATCTTTTTAATATTTTGCATCCACAAACAATGTATTTTATCAGACTAACACAAAAAGGAGTGCCAATCTAAAAAAAAAAAAAACATTTCAAAAAGGTTTGTTTAAGGTTTTTACAAATTAAACTTTTAAAAACATGTTTCAAGCATCATACATGAAATTATTGTGGACACAGCTGTCGGCCTGAATGCACCTTAAGAAGTGATCGCTGCAAACTCTGCTTGCCAGCTCCGTCTCTTCATGGCACCCACCCATATTATTGGCCTTTTGGGGCTTTAGGGGAGCGATAAAATGAAATAGTCTTTTTTCCTTGTCAGTTGGTACACCGATATGCTGAGCATAATCCTGATCCATGATCCCATTTGTCTCTGTGTTTTCAAGGTTATATAGAGAAAAAAAATAAATAAATAGCTTCAGGTCGTGTTCTATGTGCATTTTATTTTATTGTCCAAAGTGGAGTAGCGAGTAACAAAATTGACTGACATCAGATGCATGTCTTCTATAAAGGCCTCAGAGGTTTGTTACAGAAAATAAGAAACTAAACAGTTTCATGAGACCAAGACTGTTAAAAAAAGGAAGATTAAATGAGGATTTGGACAGTTCAACATATTCCATGATTTGAGTACCTTAAAAGAAAACTGTTTACTCCATCATGCCCTGTCAGGCTGAATGGAGGTTTGAAAAGAGGACCCAAATGCAGAGATTGAAGCTGAAGGTGGTTTCTTGTAGATTTATCTAAAAAGAAAAAAGGCAACAGAAGCAACAGCAAAAAAAAAAAAGAAGAAGAAGAAATACAAAAAACTAACAGGGGAAGAAATGAAACCAGCAAACAGTGACTGAGCAGGAGGTGCATATATGGGAGAGAGAAACAAAGACTAATCAGCAGATTGGGAGCAGGTGTGAACAGAGGAGTCTAGAAGGGAGCTAGGGAAAATGAGACTGACACAAGAGGGCAACAGAGTGCAAACAAGAAATACCTAAGAACTCAGATACAATCAAAAATAACTAGAATAACAAATAAATGGAAATAAAACCAATGAAAACTCAAAGATAAAATTTAAACAGAACCAAAACCATGGCAGGCCCAAGCTAAATCCATAGGAGCTCCAGAGATCAAAGCTTAGTTGGGAAATAGGGCAACTTTTTTATAAAAGTGGTTAAACAAAACACAGAGTTGAAAATAATCTGTAAGAAGACTTGTTTGCATGAGCAGTGTAGGTGTGTGATTTGTACCAGTCAAATTGCTCTAAAAATCGTGGTCCAAAAGGTTCTATGTAGATGTGAGGGCCAATTTATTTTTGTTTGTTTTTTTAAACCATGCATGATTTATGCATCAGTACACCTGTTACAATGGGCTCTATGCACAGCTCCACTACTTCCTGAATTTAAGGCAGCTCCTTTGTTTCCTGTCTTTCATTACTGGACGAACTGATTAATCCAGGTGTGTCTGGCCAGTTACTTAGGTCATACACACCTGGATTAATCAGTGCATCCAATCAAGAAAGACAGGAAACAAAGGAGCTGCCTTAAATTCAGGAAGTAGTGGAGCTGTGCATAGAGCCTATTAGGGACTCTACTAAAAAAAAATCAAAATAACCCCCCAAAGTTTGTGGTTGTAACATTAAGTATGTAAAATGTTATGTTGAAAGTCAAAGTAGTGTATATACTGTTGGGCAAATAAGAAATAGGATTTTTTCCTAATTTGAATTACCTTATTTTTGCACGCTATGCAGCCACATTACAAAACATAAAACACAATTTTTTGCTTCTTAGATTAAGGTTTAAATCAAAGGTATGCAATCAATGCACACACAATCATATTTCACTCCACCTGTTCTTTGATTAAAGGAAGTTAATTGAACCCTGCTGTAATGTCCTACTCTTACTGCATGCGGCATGATGGTATTTTTACACGATAAAATTAACTATTGATTAAACACTTGCACAGAAAAAATATACAATGTATAATACAGTTCCAAATGTAGTCTCTGAACTTAATAAACAAATATTTCATGCTTTGGGTCAGGAAATGCAATAACCTTTTACTACAGACGAGGAATAATTAATATGGTCAAGATACTGTGCAACAAGAAGCAAGTAAAGGCAGGTTCAAGACGCCAATCCAAAATAAAAAAAACAACGAAAGAAAAAAAGCAATATTTTAGAAAACGACTCACCTGCCAGGGCAGAAACCAACAGAGCCAGCGCTGTTTTCAGGGGGACCGCCATCACTGCCTCTCCTCCGGAGCGACACACGCTCCCAAACTTCCACATAAACGGAGATTGTTGCGTTTTAAGTTCCCTAAATCAGTGCGTCAAACCAAAATAAAAACAAAACAAAAAAAGCAATAAAAAACATTACAGCGGTGCCATACTATCAGACTCTGTAGCTGAAAGGCATTTGATGAAGGTCTTTGTGCATCTAGAAGATGGAGAGGAGCGCATGCTGCAGACTGCAGGGAGGTCTTCCGCAACAGCGCACCGACTTCAGCTGCTGTGATTGCGCGCAGGGAAAAGAAGCATGTTTTCCTTAGGGAAGCGAAGTTTCTTTAATAGAAATTACTAGTTAGATGCAAGAGAGACTTGAATATTGTTGTTTTTTTGTTTTAAACTGATCATTCTTAGGGTAAAAGATGAAATCTCTCGGGTCCTCACATCGCATTGACTTCGTCCGTTTTGCTCTCTGCTGATTGATCCACACGGTTTGAAATTTTGGCCGCAGAAGGGAATTTTCAATGCAATTCAGTTTATTTCTATAAAGTTTTCTATCTAAGAAAAACAAGTTGATTGCATCAACTCATTGACTCCAATGCAACCCCTCACACTAAGCATGCTTGCAATGACAGTGGAGAGGAAAAACTACCTTATAACAGGAAGAAACCTCCAGCAGAACCAGGTTCAGTGGGCGGCCATCTGCTGAGGCCGACTGGGGTTCAAGGTGACAGAAGCAGAGATACAAAAAGCAACTGTACAGGAAACACACAGCCAGGCAGAAGAGCTCAGAGCCAACTCCCATGTCAGTGGATGAAGAGAGCACATCCAGCCAGTCACAGTCAGAGAAACAGGACTACACTGGAAAAACAGGCCGATCTCCAACATCTATAAACAAGAGAAGTTATCAAAACCTCAGAGATGTCCTTCTGATAACCTTTAAAACCCATTAGTTAATGAAACCAAACTAATCCAATTTAAATGAATTCCCAAATGAAATTCATGAAGTCAATATCTTGAGAGTTGATTTCTTGCCAAAAGCATAAAAACCATAGATCTCTTATCTACATCAACATTGCTACCCTATTTATTTCCACTAAAGCTCTGAACAAATTACACCTTATGATATAAATAAACCAGGGTTTTTGTATCAAATATGATCAAGCAAGAAGCTGACTAAAACACGCTGGTGGACCAACTTGTGTCAATGTAGAAAAGATTACTTAATGTGAACTAAACAAAAGAGATGATTGAATTTTTCACAAAAATTAACATATTATGCTCTCATTTATTTGATACATTTGCATTTTATACTCTTGCAAACATTTCACTGATAAAATTGTCACAGCTCAAGTTTAAAATGCATTCTATTAGCCTGTCCTGCCATGTTACAGCTGGCTAATCCTGATGAAGATGCAGCCTAAAAGCCGCAAAGATGAATAAAGATTTCATCAGAGAGGGGGAATCACCAAAACAGCAAGACTTGCACACAAGCATTAAATATAATGATACAATCTGAGCTCTTTCTTTGTTCTTATTGAAGGTGACATATGAGAGATTTCAGTTCATGTTTTAGGGCTTGATTTGTGTTTCCATTCAGTGATAGTCTAGACTCTTTTCAAACCCTCCTTGAAACTGAAAAACAAGAGGGCTTGGAAAATGGGTAGAATCTGATTTATTGTATCTAATGAGTTGTAATTAATTTAGCTTTTCCTCTAAGCAGAGGTTTTTAATGTTAACTCCGATAGCAATGTCATTGAAAGGCAAAGAAAATAGAAAGGTAACCAGATAAGAGCCTAATATGATTTATAGCAGGTTTGGTCAAGTTAGGCTTGGTTTCTAGAATTCCACTGCTCAGTGTGACTGACCGCAGGCCAGGAATTGAACCTAGAACCTTCTTTCTGCAAGCTTATTTTGGGACAGTTGTTATGATAAATAACCATTGCAAGTTTTTTTTTTTTTTCTTCCTAAAGGTAGAAATCTCAAAAGCTGAAATTATACTGAAATAACTTCCACAAGTTCCAGGCATAACTTGAAAAGGTTGCTCCCAGGATGCAGAGCAGGAGCAAGGAGAAGAAAGCGAAGGAGGGGATTCATCTGTTCCACCAATCATGATGGACAATCTGAGATCTTTAGCAAACAAGTTGAAACTAGAACAGCACTTGGAGAGCACAGACCTCCACCAAGAAGCATATTTTGCCCCAAATAGTGACATCCATATAGCTAAAATTCACACATGATCTGGATTATTACCACGTTTAAGTTAGTTATTTTCCGTTCCTTGGCCAAGTAAGCCTCTGGTAAAGAAAAAAAAAAATCTATTCATACGTTTTCAATTGATCCTGCTAACAAACCAATAACATCTCTGCTCGTTCCGCAATGATGTCCACAGTAGTTTGTATGTCTCTGGGGCTTTTTATGACCCCATGGGTTAGTTGTTGATTGACTCTTAGTATAATTTTGTAGTTTTTCCTTTTGTTTTGTAGTGTACCACTGTGTAAACCAAGAGAATGTAACACATTGTAGACAAATAGATGTCAGAGACTTTCTTGTGCTTAAAGCTTAAATTTCTTTAGGTCTGGTTGTGGTGTGTTGCTTTTAAAGTTTTTTATCCTGCTTCATGTTTTCAGACCAGAAGGGTTCTGTTTAAGTAGTTTTACAGGTAAGGCAAATAAACAAATAATTTGTGGCTAATTACAGCTAATCCATATTCCGTAATGCTGATAATAGTATTCTTACAGTAGGCCAGGATAGTTTGGGTTTTTCAAACAAATGGAAATGTACAAATAATTTTCAAAGCCCTATATGATAACAACCTTTCCATCACTCTGCTTCATTCTCTATCTATTCTCCCAGTCTGCAGTATTTGTTAGATCAATCTATAACATTATGTACTCTCTGCTTTTTCTCATCATAGTAGCTTCATCTGCTCCTTTCCTGCTTTGCTTTAAAACCATCCTGGAGAGGAATATCAGCTGCTGCCATCAACGCCTTTGTTTATAGATGTTGGAATTTAGCTTGTTTTTCAGTGTAGACCTGTTTCTCTGACTTTGAAAAATTTGATGTTCTTTCATCCTCTAACATGGGAGCTGCCTCGGAGCTCATCTGCCTGGCTGTGTATTTCCTGAACTGGTGTGGAGCGGGTTGACAGTTAACTTTTTATACATCTCCTGGAGGTTTCTTCCTGTATAAAGGGAGTTTTCCTCTCCACTGTCACTACAAGCATGCTTGGTGTGAGGGATTGCTTTGAGTCAATGAATTGATGCAATCAGCTGGTTTTTCCTTTAATCTTCAAGTCAATCTGACTTGAAGATTACATGTTTTGTGATTGGTGCTATATAAATAAATTGAATTGAATTTATGTTTTGGATCATTTTCTTTAAAGATAAGTGCCTGTCCTAGTCACTGGTCTTTTGCAGACGGTTTTATTCTTCTTCTGTATTTGGCTCCATCAATCTTCCCATCCATTTTAGCCCTGGTGAAGTAAAACAGGTCCAAACCTGTTTGACAGTTGTGAAGGTGTGTACATGTGTGTGCAGCGTGATGAACTGTGTTGGTTTTGCTGTGTTGTCAAACCAAAAAAGTAAAAAAAAAAAAAATAAAATAAAAAAAAGCACTGGACTTTGTTTTCCATGTTTCAAGACGTTTTGGTTTTGCTTCCCATCCATGAAGGCCTTTTCAATTCCAAATGTCTGGATTAGCACTGAGTTCCAAGCTTGATAGAGTAGCCCAACAAAGCCTTGTTATGGTGGTTCAATTTGCATGTTTTCTAGGCCATAACAAAGCTTATATATATATATATATATATATATATATATATATATATATATATATATATATAGGTAGGTAGGTAGGTGGGTAGGTGGGTAGGTGGGTAGGTAGGTAGGTAGGTAGGTAGGTAGGTAGGTAGGTAGGTAGGTAGGTAGGTAGGTAGGTAGGTAGGTAGGTAGGTAGGTCGGTAGGTCGGTAGGTCGGTAGGTAGGTAGGTAGGTAGGTAGGTAGGTAGGTAGGTAGGTAGGTAGGTAGGTAGGTAGGTAGGTAGGTAGGTAGGTAGGTAGGTAGGTAGGATGAGAAGGCCTGGCTCTTAGTCTCCGCTCTAATTCATCTGAAAGGTCCTCGAGGTCAGGATCCTTTGCACTGCCATCCATGTCTTTATGGACCTTCTTATGTCCACTGGTGCACAGTCATGTTGGAAGAGGAAGGGGCCAGCTCCAAACTATTCCCACAAAATTGGGGGCATGAAACTGTCCAAAATGTCTTAGTATGCTGAAACATTCACAGTTTCCTTCACTGGAACTAAGCCCAGCTCCTGAAAAACAAGCCCACAACATAATCCCCCCTCGACCAAACTCTACACTTGGCACAATGCAATAAAGCAAGTACTGTACTCCTGGCAGCCACCAAACCCAGACTCGTCCATTAGATTTCCAAATGGAGAAGCATGATTTGTCAATCCAGAGAATAGATTCAGAGATGGTTGAGGTCTGCCTTGAGTACTTTAGATCTCAGGATGCTATGGGCCTGCCATGGCTGAAAATCCTGTTCAATTTCATTTGGAGGTCAGGATCAGTGCTCATCAGAGATGGCAAAAGTACTCACTTTCCGTACTTGAGTAAAAGTACAGATACTTGTGTTAAAAAATACTCTGGTAAAAGTGGAAGTACTGATTAAACTTCTTTACTCAAGTAAAAGTAACAAAGTACAGACTTGTAAATTTACTTAAAGTATAAAAGTAAAAGTAGAAACCACTTTTTTCATGCCGTTGCCTACATTTTAAATGGATGTCTGCCAATAGGACTAGATCTCCGTTGTGTTCATTTTCAATCATCTCGTCGTCCATGCTACTATGCTAACGCCACCGCCACCAAGCTGCAATGATTTGCCGCGAATGAATACCGCCGAATCTGTCGATTCATCTTGTAGTGGTGCGTCAAATGCAACGTAGATTCCCATCCAGTTAGATTGAATTTGGTATTGATGACGTGAAAAATAATAACGGTAACTCCATTGAAATGATTCAAAACTAAAGTAACGAGCCAATTTTTAAAATGTAAGGAGTAGAAAGTACAGATATTTGTGTAAAAAATGTAAGGAGTAGAAGTAAAAAGTTGCCATAAAAATAAGTAGTAAAGTAAAGTAAAAATATCAGAAAAATCTACTTGAGTACAGTAAGGAAGTATTTGTACTTCGTTACTTCCCATCTCTGGTGCTCATAGAGGGGAAATCACACTTTTCAGCCTCCCTAGGAACGATACCTTCCCTGCGCTTT